AAGTGTATAAATGCCGACACGTTTCACCGCTTGTCAGTTGACCGACGGCCGACGCTGCGTTTGCTGCTATCAGTGCAAATGTGCTACTGTAACCCGACTTTCCGTTTACCGGGCACAGGTTCACCCAAATAAACAGTTCGATCTGACCATCCTCTCTCACAAAGTAGCACACGTCAAGATATTTTGCGAAAATTGGAAGTGCATGGATACATAAATGCGGGATAATGCTTTTGCTGTCTTAAGTTCATTTGCAATGCACGTTTCTTGGTGGCAACGTATTTTTGTTTTGTTTTCGTTCGTTAGCATCTTTCCAAATTTCAGTCCCTTCGCAAACGACCTGGACTGCAGTGCGTGTAATTGCTTATTAATGAATTTGGGCAAAAGCGTACCTCCTTCAAATCACTACTGGATTAGCGCGAAAAAACGACGCAATATGTTAGAATATACGACGACGTAGCGCAGTGTGATTTTGTGTCGTGCGCCGTTTCTTTTCGCCCAACCACAAACCGCGCATTACCAGTCTGTTTTGTTGACCTTTAAATGGGATGCGTAATTGCATGTGTCTCAACTACTATCCTCAAAGACATCGTTAAAGAGCTAATGTTCTGTGTTTATGGGCACTTTGCGGCCATCATTAGAATGTCTGTTGACATTCATCTAAAGATATAGCACAACAAGTCAGCCATTTGGAAGTGAGGAAATCACTTAGGCGCGAGTGCGGTAATATCAGGCAGAGAAAAGCATTTTCTGATTAAAGAAAACAGCTACTCCCTCTACTGTATATGTAACAAAATAGGACAGTTTTTTTTTTTTTTTTGCCCTGTTTGGAAAGTATACCGTGAATGGCGTCACCACGCGCAGAGCCATGTCTCACTGCCAGGCGGGGCATCGCGGCTTCCGGCCTTCTCTTCACTGGCTTGTCTTAATAGGCAGGACGCTTAAGCAATTAACAATGTCGACTTGCCCATACACGCATACAAAAAAAAACAAGTCATGATTTCGTGCTCTTAACGGGCGAGTAGCAGTGAAGGGCCGTTCATTTCATTTATTTGTTTATTCTTTCGCATTTCATGTTTTGCCCTTGCGCCGTTAAACAGCATAATTCATCATCAAATGTTTCCAGTTTTCTTAACTGCCGATTAGCAGCGCGCTCTTTGAGAGGTAGCGCAGACACGAAAGTCGTGGCTTAGATTCCGGCTGTCGCGTTTCAATGGAAATGGGATGTTAAGAGCGTTAAAAAACACCAGATGGTCTAAAGTGTTGGAGGACTCACCTCGTAATCATATCGTGAGTTTCACACGCAAAACCACAGATATTATTATGAGAGGCAGCGCAATAATGGCCATCGTGTTACGTGTAAAGCTTAGGTCGAAGCATAACAGTGATAAATTAAACGTATTAAAACATTCACCTATTGAGCCCCTGGTGGCTAACTTACGAAGCTACACCCTTCGTTTGCAATTTCGTAGCCGAAATGTTCGTAGAGTGCTACTGTTGTGGTGATAAATTTATAAGAATTGTGCAGCATCATGGGACAACCAGGAGGAGATATCAACTTGGACTAAACGACCAGGAAAGAAAGAGGCACAGCTGTTTCATGCTAGCGCTCCCCAGGCCTGCAGATATGGGCATATGCAGAGTAACTAGAATATAGTGGTATTGAAAGCGGCAATGGCGACTGGCTGCAGAGCGCTCATTTCTTTGCTGTTTCACAATGATTGCCGCACCGCAAATCATTTCCCAACCCGCTATTACTGGATTCGCGAAAGCCTTCGTCTGGTATTACGTGCTCCTGAGTTTCTTGCAACATAAATGTGGGCGTTAATACTCCAAGCCACAGATACGTGCAATAACTGCCTGAGGCGAACGTAGGTAAGCGAGCTCACTCATGCATCGGTTCACTCGGACTCTTCAGGCTCTAATAAAAACCAGAGTCTGAGTCTGAGTGAGTCTCGGTGAGTGACATTTTGATCAGCCGGAGTTCGAGTGAGCCCTAAGCACAAAATATATTTCATGAGTGAACTCCACAATTTTCGTTCACCTATATGGGGGCGGATGCGACGCCCCATAATATTAAATGATCCATCAGAGTTCATTTTTAATAACTTGATGTGTTCAATTAAATGTCTTGTCATTTTCTCATCTCCAATGAAAAAAAAGTTGTTGAACCGGTACAAGACTTAACAGAAGCACACTGGACGACTCTCACGACTACTCTCATTGTTTCTAGATTTTTTCTAAGCTTTAGCAAGATGATTAGAATAATTTCTAGCTTGTTTCTAGGTCGTTGAAACAAGCTTTACCAAGGTAATATCAGGTTGTTTCTACGTTGATTCTCAGCGCAGAGAGACTAGAGTCAAACTAGAGACAGTCACAGACACAAGACGGATGTACAAACTCCAGAGAAAGAAACTTGCGCTGCAGCCGAGCGTTAGCACCACTCATCATAGGAAGGCTAATGACGACGTGCACGTCGTTGTTAGCCTTCCATCGCTTTGGTCTCTTCTCGCCACCGCCGTTGCCTTTCCCGTTCTCTCGTCCGCTATGGCCTTCTTTTTTTTTTTCATTGGTGAATAGTGGTGTTACACCAATTTAAGTGGTCCATACCTGATAGGCCGCGCAAATCATGGCGTCCTTACACAGCTTCACGATGTGAAGACTTCACGTCGCAATTAACAGGGCGATTTCCACAAAAAATATAATCTACAAACCATCAGCATGAGCTACGGAATGTGGAAAACTGACCAGTTGTGCTTATTGTGGTGGTTATTAACAGCGCTATTACACTACGCAGTATCAACACACAAACACATTAGTGCATCGAAAGCCTGGACGGGAATTAAACACCAGCTTAGAAAGCAATAAAGTTCTGTTCGATAGTATAGTTCATACCTTAGTCCAAATGCGTACAGCCAGCCTTTCAGAGGCCGTCGGCAACAAGAAAGCAGCTGCCAACAGCAGTCGTGACCTCTCAGGCATGCCTCAGACATCGCGTTCCACCGCTTCACCTTTCCGTTGCACCGGCCAGCCCTGCTGTCGCCTATCGGTGTCATTAAGTTCTAGGGCAAGCTGATTCCATATCATAGAATTCTCTCATTACGTCAACAGCCGCAAATGGCACTTTGTGAATGAACTTTGACGCTTACTGTTTTTTTTTCGCATATTCTAAATTAGCACAAGTGCTGCCACTGCCCACGCACGTGTGGACGACTATACAGCACTCGTTTTTATAACACGGGCATTGTAAGCTTCCTGACCTCGCCACTGCCGGGCTAAACTATCGAGCGCGAGCGCAGTCTAGCCCAGCCGTTACCTTACGAACGTCTATAGCCTTACGAGTACGCTTATCTCGTCGCATTTTTTTTTCTTACGCTTGCGCTTATTGCGTATGGGGTTCGGCTTCGTGAGGTGCATTCATTATAGGCGTGGTTTTCGAAGTTGCGATGCTACAGCCCTTCATCTGCCTGACTTGAGAGAATCTATGGACTCGTTTGTTTTCCATTACCACTTCAATGACGACGCTCTTCTATAAAAATGAACGGCACGACATAACACGAACCACAACGGTAATGCCTCCACTATATTCAGTTTAATTAATTTTGTGACAAACACCCTTAAACAAAACATCACACTAAGTGGACATGTTTTTATGGGTAATCATGTGTATTTTTTCACATGACTCAAAAATATTTCTGCAGTTCCAGCACCTATGTTAAATATATTTTTGTGTACCTTCTACTATCCAATCTCTGCATGGTTGTTACTGTTAAAATGAATGAATGAACCAATATATGAATAAACATTTATTCCTTCATTCAATCAATAATTCATTTGAACTGTTGGAATATTCTATGGCTGTAGTAGTAGAAGCTACACAAATATTTCTATAGCGAGATTCACACGTGCAAATTGGGGTGTAATTGCAAATTGTAGCCTCTTAAATCTGTGAGCGAGAATCTTAGCGATATATAATATACTGTTGACAACGTCCGCCAATAAATTGAATTCAACGCAGTTTGTACGTATGGAGAACACTTGATGTAACACACGGCACAAATCTGCAACTTCATTGAAATTACACTCAGCGGGCTGTTTGCGTCCTATATTTAGTGCCGCATGAAAGAAAGCTTCCAACGCTCACAATGACCAGTATATAATCTTACTTCACAGCTGTAGTCTAAATAACTTTGCGATCTGTACTATCTCCTCTTGCACATGGTTCAGTGTGCTGAATATTGCTAGTATCTATAGAACACTGATTAGACTGTAACTTTTTGTTACTCATTTTAAATGAACAAATGTGTACCACTTTGTTACCACCTATATAGTAATTTTAGAAATTTTAAGACCACAACATTAGTTTTTATACCACTATTACTTATTAACTTATGTATAAAAAAAGTGAATTCAGCTCGTTTTTTTGTTTTTCTTTCCTTGTTTTATTTTTCTCCTCGTGCTGTTAAAATCAAGCTGTATAAATGTGGCCCATAGGCTGACAGAAACTGACTTTCTTTTTAGTAATGTTCATTCAAATACGTTCTTAACGGTTACAGGGTTTTGAGCCTGTACATCAGCACCATTAGTAGCGGTCACCACTGCTGATAGGTTGTAACAGTTACTAATGCTGCCGTTAGTAAAACAATAGAATATATACAGTACCATACGTAACAAGCAGTAACCGAATATTGGTAACTATGACACCCCCCCCCCTATTTTTTAAGTGGTAAGGGGCAATTGTTAACGTGATAACCACACTGTGGCAAGCCACCGGGAGATATGAACAACCTGTAGCAAAAAAAAACAAAGCAGACTCTAATTCAGCCTCTTCTGCAGTCTACTTTTTCCACCCAAGATGGAAACATGTTCCATCCAAGATGAAAACCAATCGCAACGGTACCACATCTGATCATTCAGAAAATATATCCCAATACGCTACAGGTTATTTGGCCCAGAGAAGAGGGGTATGCGTAGTTTGACTTGCTTTTTTTTTCATTTCTTACTTTTCATGGCCCAGGCATCCTTGTTCTTTAATCCGAGCAGAAGCTTCACAACACTCGACGAACAGGGAATGCTCAGGTCGGGGCTTCCAATCAGGTCCGACACGCTAGGAAGAAACTTGGAAGCCAGCACGTTGGTCACTTCGGTGAAATCAGCCTTGAGCTTCTCTGTGGGCGATGCTGTGGTCGTCGTCGTCGTCGTCGTCGTCGTCGATGTTGTCTCTACACCAGCCACCGCGCTGGCAGTTCCGGTGAAAGAGTACAGTACGGCGCATAACAATAATAATACTCGCGCCGTTTCGTGCGTATTCATGGCGTGCACTGGGACGGACACTACTCCACCGTGTTCGCGATATTTCTTTCACTTTAAAGCAGGTTGAGCAGAAACATCGGATAATATAAGACCGTTCCTCTCTCGCTCTCCTGCCACCCCGCTTTTTTTCTTTCTTTCGCTTTCTCCCCGTCTTTCGTTCTCTCGTTTCCGTTGGTGGTAGAGGAGGTCTCCGAGAATTCGCTACTCGTTTAGAAGTCTAATGCGAACGAGCAACGTTCAAGCAATAAATGAATACTCTCGAAATTGCGCGCTCTCTATGACGTCACTCACAACGTTTCTCTTGTTTCTTTTGTTTTTTAAACTGGTCTGCGTGGGGCGCTTCCCCGAGAGGACCTTGGTTCGCCGGAGGCATTCGCGCCAACCAACAGCGAAACCCTTCCAGTTGAGCATGTCGGGCCGGCCAAGTTATTTACTTCAGCCGTAACGACGATGCTCTCCGCTACCCTCTCCCATCATCATTCGCTGGTCCATACTTTCTCTCTCCCACCACCTGGTTTCGTAGTATTTCGGCGGAAGGCTGCCTACGTGATCATGCGTGCATGAAGGGGTGGAATCTAGTCGCTTGGGAGGGCACTAAGTGAACGCAGTTTGTGCGCTCGCTGGAGGCGATGAGGAATAGCCCATTTGCAACGTAGCGTGCCTCCGAAGTGACTGTCTTTTGTTGTTTCTTTCGCCTTCATAGCGACGCACCGGTCATTGCACCCCCGGAACATTCGCGTTCTAATGGTTCAGCCCACAGAAACATCGTTCTTTGTTTTGTTCTCTTGCTATTGTCTTGAGCGAGGTCTAAACTGTCCATTATTTTGTCTACTTCTCTTGTTTGCTTCTTTACTAAGCTCTATGAAGGTCATGGTCATTCACGCATAGTGCGTGTGGGTATGGGTTGAAATGAACTAATGTTGGTTTGTTTATTGACGACCCTATGTTACTCCCTCGATTGTCTATGTGTAGCATTTTACAATGTTTTCAGAGAACTTCAACAACCTGTCAGTCACTTTAATCCGATATTCTTACCTTTTTATATATTTATTATTTCTTTTATACGGTGTCGTATAACAACATGGCACCATGTAGGATAATATTTCCGGTTGTTTCACCATCGAGCGTTTCGGGAAACACTTTCACAACTTCTTGAAGCTACGGGGCCCGAGTGAAAAAAAAAAACAAGTTTTTCCGTATATATAATTGTTGGGTTTTTACGTCCCAAAGCCACGATATGATTATAAGAGACGCCGTAGTGGAGGGCTCCGGAAATTCCGGCCATCTGTATTCTTTACCGTGCACCTAAGCACACATGCCTCAGGCGTTTCGTCTCTGTCAAAATACAGCCGCCATGGCCAGAATTTAAAAAACAAGTTTATTCATATGTAAGATGTAAGGTGCGATAGATGTCCACACATGTCAAGATGACACAAACTAGTGGTCAGTTACCTAAGCTTCGCTAATTTTGTAATCACTTGGTACTTTAAGGCACAATCGGCACATACGAAATGTAGCCGGTGATCTCACAAGGCGCATATACTTGGAATGATATCTGAAGATAACATGGACTTAGAAATATGCAACATCGAAACAGGGGCACAGATGCACTGCTTTTCTAATTACATTTGTGACAAAATGTGATTTTCTGCGCTGCAGCACACAGGTAAGTGGAACGCCTGCGCATTTGACCACGAACTTGAAGAATTAATATCTTGAAACTGTTGGCGCCTTCAAAGGGACCACGCCGTAATAATTCAAGGGTTACAATTTAAAATGTGTGCAGTATTGTACTGAATTTTGTTAAAATAGGTATTCAATACTAGTTAAAAGACCATTTTAGAACAGGGTACGCAATGGTAGCGTTCGTTGCGTACGTACGTTGTTCAGGCCACTCAACGTAGGTACGCAAGAGCATATGTGAACGAATGAGCATCGGTGTCAAACGCTAACGGAAAGCTTAGCGTACCAAGTTTGAAACCTGTCTAGTAATCTACTGGAAAGCCTCACTATACCATATATGAATGTACGGCGCCCCTGATAGCTTATACTATGAGGAGTCTTTTTTTTTTTTTTGACAGAGAGACTGTTTACGAAGCTGTTCCTATCCGACAAACCAAAAAAAAAAAAACCTTGGTCTTGAATGTCTCAAAAGAATAGGGAAGCGCCACTACCGAGTAAAAATGAAATCAAATTTTTCACGAGAATTTTTATATGACCACTCAATTCTTGGCCAGTCCCTCACAGTGGGTGTCAGCCACAGAAGTAGGTAAACGAGAAAAAGAGGAACTCCGTGGATCATGTAAAAAACTATCGTCAGAGAGAGAGAGAGAGAGAATGGGACGAAAGGATAGAAAGAGTGGGAAAGAGAAGAAAGAAATAGAAGGAAACAGGAATAAAAACATTGAAGAAAATGAAGAAATAGAAAAGGAAAGTGAAAATATATTGAAGCAAAGAAGGCCGCTCAGCTTTGCACTTCCTTCGGGCTTGCTACTGCTAGTGCAAAGCTGCTATTTTTTTTTTTTTGACAAAAAAGTGTTATCTGGACCGCATTGGCGTTATTTTATTAATGGTTATTCTGCTCCTCCGTTGCGGTGCCAAGTTCTAGACGTAAAAACAAAAAATAGGCATCTCATTCGGCATCGGTCCGTTGAATCGCCTGCGAGAGTTTACAGTCATGTCGGAGAAAACAGCCATCAGCTTCCTCGCATTCCTCTCGTCAGCCCACGTGAAGCGCCTCATAGAACTGGAATTCCCAGCTATAGACACGTGCACACTTCGCGATTTCAACAGTTTTAAGATAGACATTCACAGTGTTTTATGAAATACCACACGAAAGCCCCGTACGCTTATTTGGTGCGGTTGTGAACCTCACTGCGATGATGCCTATAAAGCAGAAATATGCACGATGAAGACAGTTCGGAACCGTCTAAAGACTGCACATGCGCTTCACAGCACCGACTTCCCTGCACCGACTGGTGTAGGGTGCGTGATCGCAATGATCACCTCAAATGCCCAGTGTCGTGCGTGTCTCTCTTACCTCGTTTTGTCTGTTATTGCCACAACACATTTCCCCAGAGCTCCACTAGCTGCATTCACCATCGAAACAACTGTGATAAAAAAAACACCAGGCCTGCGCGGAAGGCGCAGCACAGTTACAGCGAAAGCTAGAAGAGAGGCCTTTCAGAGCCTTTTCTAAACACTCATTGGGTAACTACTGCAGGCACATTTGCTTGGTACCCACTAGGTAATTAATAATAACGATTTCAGGGTAGTAGACCAGCATTCTCTGTGCGATTTTTTTGTCATTCTTCTGAGAAGTGTTGTATCCGCTAAACACTTCCAAGGAATTTTGTGCCGATCGTTCATGCAGTGGCTGACGACGATGAGGAATCATGCTGGAAGTGGGTATGCGCCACAGTTAATAGGTGAACGATAGCATGCTTTTGTAATGGGTGGGAGCACTAGACGACCTACTCGTTACACTATTCTCCATGTGTCACGCCTCGTTGCTCTTTTGCTGTTCTAAAGCGCTTTTATTACTCATATTAACGCGATTCCTTTCTCGACATCAAGCCTGCCTAAGGCAAGTTTGAGAACAAGTTCCAAGCACCAGCATGGCTCAGTGGTAGAATACTGGGCTGGCACGCAGTCGACCCAGCTTCGAGCCCCACTGTGTCCTTGGTACAAGGTTTGCTTTTCTTATTTCGCGATAGTGGTTACAGACACCGACAATGGACACATACAGCGCCGCGCATGATCCAAGTCTTGATCCCATAACAGCTTTCGCTGCAGTAAGGCTGCTTGCTTAGTGTATAGATTGAGCAGATCGTCCAGGACCCCACTGGACATTGCGGCTCACCATACCTGCAGAACGGGTTCCCATATGACATCAAAGATCCCGTTTTGAGAGTCGTGCCTCTCACGATGGATTGCCGCGTCTGTCATTAAACAGTGGTGACACGGTGACTGCTGGACTACTGAGCCCCAATAGGTCATGTATTATTCACGTGCCAGGATGTAGTCGTCCCACAGACATTTGTCTCTGATTTCTTCCGGGAAATATCTGACGAATATCTCACAGAATTTCCCACCAAGAAGAGGGGGGGGGGGGCAAAGTATGATTTTAACAAGCTGAACAATGAATGGAGAAATGAAAACTAACTAATGACTAGCTTTTTGAAATGGCCGGCGTGTACGTACTCCTTGGCTGTAGATGGCAAATACACTTATAATGCAAGCTCAGTTTAAAATCTGACATCAGCAGTCTTCAGTTGCCATTGTCGTCCAAAACCTGCTAGCCGCCACCTTTCAACAATGCTATTGGAAGAATGACGGGACAAGTGTATGACTCAGTAAAATGGGAGAGGGAAGGGTTTGACTGAGGGCCTCTCTAAGATAATCAAATGGGAGGGGGGGGGGGGGGGGGGTCATCTCTTCTGTCTCTCGTGCGCGTACCCCGTGAGTGTGGGTACGTGGTTGTCTGTTATTCGGCCATAATACAGCCACGTTCCTTTCTCAAGTTTTATTATTGCCCCATTACACGCATAAGGGCTGCCTTGCGCAACCACGCCGATTGACTAAATAACCATCAAAATAATATAGAATCTTCCGATGCGATTTGGTGCACAACAGGAACATTACAAATTCTTCTGTAACTTCCGTGACCGCTATATATAGCGCTGAAATATTCAACTGCACATGTATAAATGCCGACGCGCGTCATTGCGTGCGAGTTCATCGACGGCTGACGCTCTGTTCACCGCTATCAGTGCCAGTGTGTATCGCTGTAAGCTGCCTTTCCGTTTATCGGCCACAAGTTCGGCCAAATAAAGTGTTTCATTTTGGACAAGTTTTCTCTGCATTCGTAGACGGGACGGCCCCATGACAATACCTCGCCTGTGACCTCTTGAGCTTGGGATGGGGCGGGGTTTTGGTTTGACTTGCCAGTCTTTGCGCCTCAAGTACATCTTCTAATAAGCCACTAGATGTTTGAGAATAACAATCGG